TCCCCAACATGGCGGAATAACAGCGGCCCCCTCCCCAACATGGAGGAAACACCTACGGTTCCCAACGCTTAACATAGCCCCCCTCCCCAAGATGGCGGAAATACTGGCGGTTCCCAACGCTTAACATAGCCCCCCTCCCCAAGATGGCGGAATAACAGCAACCAAAGTCAATAACACTAACGCCATATTTTCTCCTCAGGTGATTTGGGTGAATTTTAACGCCTGGGAGTTCTCCGGCTGCAAGGTATTGTGGGCCGGGATTGTCACTACTCTGTGTGACGCAGTCGAGTCAAAGGTCGGCAGCAAGCCGGCGAGGTTCTTCCGGGTCATCCAGGTCAGTTTACGTCACTTCCTTTATCGCCAGTTGTTCTTAAGAGCAATTGGCGACAACTGGCGACACACACACACACACACAGACACACACAGACACACACACAAGGTAATAATGATAATAACAAAAAGTACCAATTGTCCAGTGACTGGTCATACATTAGGAAAAACTAACCTAACACCAATACCTCCCGCCTCCCCCCACAGGGCCAGTTGAATGGAGGCGGGAAGAAGGCTCTTTTCAGACGAGCGTGGTTCAAGCTGCTGCTATCCGCAGTGGGCGTGGTTATACTGGTGGTCATCGTGCTGGTTCTGCTGCTGTCTGGGGGTGCAGCGGAGATCGACAAGTTCATGCAGGTATGCAGGTGTGATATAGTGTGGTTTATTTATCTTGAAGACACATGGGTGGTCCCTTCAGCCCCTTGCGGCTGATTTCCAGGGGAGCCCATACAGAAAATAATTTAGAATATAAAGTAATAATAAGTAAACGTAACAGTGAAATCATACGGTTTTGTCGGTGAAGGTTAGACATCCAGGTAATAAGATGCGCCAAAAAACAGCGAAGGTAAACATAATGAAAAACATTATGCGACGCGACGGGGGCCGACATCGTCTACCAGATACCTTTGACCCAGTGTTGACGTCACACTTTAAAGAAGCCACGTGACAAGCCTCACTGGGTCAGTCTACTGAGGAAGACCAGAGTGACTGGTTGAAAGCTCTAGGTGAGAGATTTTTTTGTGTTGGAGCAAAAGTTTTAACTTTAAACAAACTTTAAACGATTTTACGCAGGGTCCGCAGATCCAAGGCATTATCGGGTCTATCACGGGTTTCTTGGGTCTTGGCATCGTGGTGCATCTTAGGAAGGGGCTGGACCTGGTCAAGAACATGGCCAAGTCTCAGAAGGAGAAGCTGGACGCCAGGATGAAGAAACCGGACTTCGCCGAGCAGCTCGGATTCATGTCTGAGGTTTGGGTTAGATTTGTAACCGTGCTAGTACGTAGCCTCCGCATAGGAGGCTTATAGAACTGGGGGTTTGGTGGTCTGTTTTCTGATTAGCCCGG